AAAAAATTAGGTGTCTATTTACTTGTGACCACTCAGTGTATATTGATCAGACAGTATGTCGTGTTTATAAACAAAGTAGGTGTGTCTTTTCCTTTCAACATATTATGTTTTGCATCTCACGGCTAGATCCTTGTGCTGGTCTTCATTGTGGGGCTGGTCGTATTTGTGTCACAGATGAGCAAGAAAAGCCTGTCTGTGATTGTGTCTCTGAGTGTCCAGTGGAGACAGATGAAAGAAGAAAGGTAAATAAAAAACAAGTTTTTATCGTTTAAAGTAAACCCTTTAATAGCATTAAATTATATAGTTGATGTGAAAGATGCAGTAGGATAAAAAATTATACAAAATGCCTTTTTTTCATTTTCCTGTAGTATTACATTGTAACAGAAAATATTTTTCTTTTCACTTTCGGTGATCTGCACAACATCCTGGAACTTCAACATACCGACTTGATTTTTACTTTTTTTAGTGTTCAGTACCAGTGGTCATATTGCATCATATTGAGTAATGTTATATTACAGCAGCCAGTGTAAAGAACTGGTCAAAACATATTGGTCGAAATTACTCATGTTTTATGTAAGAAACGCCAAAAGTAATTAGTGGAATTAACTGCAATATTGATAACATTCTACTTTAAGTTTTGTGTGTTATTCACGTTTTCTTGGGGACTCTGCTACCAATAAAGCCATGGCGTCCACGTGCAATTCGACGTATGAATAGTTTAGAGACATGTGTTTCTAAACTCGATGGGGGTATGGACCCTATTGGTAATTTTGGGGTTACCTTAACAATTAAGTTTTCTGCGCCATGCAATTCAGTTACTTTAGTAAGCATAACTACATTTTAAATGGTAGAAGTTCAATTACTTTAGTAAGCATAACTCCATTTTAAATGGTAGAAGTTCAATTACTTTAGTAAGCATAACTCCATTTTAAATGGTAGAAGTTCATTTACTTTAGTAAGCATAACTCCATTTTAAATGGTAGAAGTTCAATTACTTTAGTAAGCATAACAACATTTTAAATGGTAGAAGTTCAATTACTTTAGTAAGCATAACTCCATTTTAAATGGTAGAAGTTCAGTTACTTTAGCAAGCATAACTCCATTTTAAATGGTAGAAGTTCAGTTACTTTAGTGAGCATAACTCCATTTTAAATGGTAGAAGTTCAGTTACTTAGTAAGCATAACTCTAATTTAATGGTAGAAGTTCAGTTACTTTAGTAAGCATAACTCCATTTAAATGGTCAGTAGTTCAATTACTTAGTAAGCATAC